AGACAGGTTAAAACCTACTGGTTTCAGCACGCTGCAGAAACCAGTAGGTTATGTCACAGTGGCTACCCCCATCCATCATTTATTTACAGAGTATGTATTTCCTCCTTGTGCTGGCAGAACTCAGGGCCCTGTCAGTATAGCGAGCTTTAGAGATACACATGCTCCAGTGAGGCCACTAAAACATGGACAAGATTATTATAAACCTTTTGATTCATTCGTAGTTTCTTAAATGTTAAGACGTTCCTTTGAGAATCTGTGCTCATTCCCATAAAGTTTTTCAACTTCACAGGAAAGCCTGAATCGCCTCGGTGCAATGTTAAGGGACGCTCATGCGATTACCAAGATAATGAGTCCAGGTATCAAGTTCACTTTATGTAATCACATCTCATCACATCTATTGAGCAGTGGGACAATATTAAAAGTATTAACTTTATTAAGTCTTATGTAACAAAATGGGCCCCACAGACTTTGTGCCCACTTTATTTTAAGGGAACAGAATCACATTTTTTTTTAAAACAGGACATTAAATATGCAGAGTTTAATATAAAGCAAGTCTGTGTCATTCTTCAGCGCCATGAATTAAAGTCATAAATTAAACGTTAACTGCGCGGCTGTGAATAAACAACAGAGGAAAACTGTAAATGTATGTGTGTGATTTTAAATGTCGGGTGCCAGCGTGTGCTTATGAAGCACATTTCTACAGCAAGGCCTCCCACGCCACATGAATGCTAAACAGTCCCCACCCCACCCACCCACAAAGTTATAGTACCATGTTGCCACTGTTCCTGCAATGTCCTCGCCTGGCGTGTGTTGGCTTTTGGAGAAATAAAACACACATACTGTAACACCTCACAGCGAATAAACAGATTTGTGTCTGTGAGAAAGATGTTGTATGTAGCGTGTGTTCAGTCAAATCATTCATATACAGAGTCTCTGGGGTTTTATGGTGATGTCGACCTGTGTGGAAATCGCTGGCTGATGCTGTCGTTGCAAGGGTTGGTATGCTGCAGCGTGTCAGCTGCTAATGTAACGTATAATGAGACCCTGAGGAGTAAAAATGTGTGTGAGAGTCTCTCACACAATCTCCACACAGCTCTGCACGCTGTGCATATACAGTAAAATCGATAGTGTGTAGTGTACAGTAAGGCCAAAGTATGTGGACAGCCA